TACATCATAACTATGTCCTTGCGAAAACTGTCTTGTCTTGGCATCCCGGGAAATTGGGAGCCATTCTAGGAAGCCACTGCAAAGGAATAAAATCTATGTGTAAGCTAGAAAGAGAATAAATGGAGTATCCAAGGGTGGGATGGCAGAAGAGGGGAATTGTGAATTCCTACGCTCCAGTCCTGCATGCGTGTGTAAGGGCCAGACACGCTGCTATAGAGCTATGAAATGAAAACTGGTGGGGCGGCCCCAAATGGATGTCAGCAAAGCTGAACTTGCTTTTGCCCAGGCAAGTTTCCCCTTGACTCTAGCAGGAGCATTTTCTGAGGTCAGGTTCATGCCCCAGTATTCAGCAGAGCCCAGCCAAGCCCTGGGAAGGGCAGGTGTGTGAGGCTGGCAGCTCCTGGGCACTGCGGAGAAAATAAAATGGAGAAACACAGAAGAAAACCTGAGCTCCGCCTTTCCCATGGAGACAGCAGCAGATTTGATGCTCTATGATTTTTTTCCTCCTTCTGTATCCATAATTTATCTCTTCTTCTCCCTTCTTGTGTTGTCTTGATCTGATCCCCTTGTCCTTGAAATACCATCATTTAGTTTTGCCCCCATATTTAAGCTAGGCTAGAAGTAAACTCTTGCTGTGAACATGCTCTCTCTCTCTCTCCTCTGAGCTGTTCGGCTGCCTTAGCTGTACCAGTGGGGCTGGGCAATGCAGATGTTCCCCATGGACCTTCCAAGATCCATTTGGATTACCATGTATGAGCACTCACACTGCGTCCACGGGGCTGAACGGGGCTCCTGCACATGTATGCCCAATGCCCAAGGGATTCTCCAACTGGTGGTCAAAGGAATGCCAGACCATGAACCAGAAATATTCTTGAACCAATTAAAAATGCTTTCTGATGTCCTGTGTGCACTTATGTTCCACATAGCCCTCCTGGCCACTCTGAATCGCTGCTTTTCCTCTTCTTTGCAGCACCTTCGTTCGTCGAGGAGCTCATTGATCAGGCTGCTGGTGTCGGACAGTGCGTAACGCTGTCGTGCCGGACGGCCGCTCACTCCTCCCTGCACATCGACTGGTTCAGAGGTGACATTGGCATCCCTCTAGGGAGTCCCTAACCTCTGGGACAGGGGTGCAGGGAGGGTTTTACACACCTTGGTATGAATTTGCAGGGTACTTATCTCTCCTACCTTCTGCTTTTCAGATGGGATACCTGTCCACAGCAGCGGCCGCATCCTCATCTCAGCCACGCTCAAAAACTTCCAGCTGTTAACTATTCTCTCTGTTAGTGCTGATGATTTTGGTATTTACACCTGTGTGGCCACAAATTCCCTGGGCTCAGCATCCACCTCTTGCATCATAAGAAAAGCAGGTAAGAGAAGACGTAGCTAGAGAAGTAGGTATTACAAGTCCTTCTGCCCAAAAATGTGACCTGTAAATACCTGTGAGGTGAGATTTCTGCAGATAGGTTCAGAGGAAAATCTGACCCACAGCCTTGTTGTCTGGTAGCGTGGCACATTTTGCAAGGTTCATTCCCTCTTCTTCGCCCTGTAGTCGCTCTCCTGGATTCATAGCCACACCAGTAACCATGTGGTTCTAGAACCGGACTTCAAAATCTTAATACTGAGTTTAAATTAGGCATGGTTAAATTGCTGTTCCACTAGGTGTGTGTACATATATATATATATATATATATAAATATACATTTATATATATTTATAAATATCTGTAACTGAGAAATGTTGGGCGTAGAGGTATGTATCGCAGCAGTGCCATTGCTAAGAGTCACTGGTTTGCGTGCCTCCTGTTGACAGAGGTTCCTCCCAGCCCTCCGCCCCCTGACATCGTGGAAGTCTACGAGGACGGAGCGCAGGTGGTCTGGAAACCTGTGGAAACCAACACCCCCGTCCATTACACTGTCCAGTGTAAGAGCGAAGGTAAGGTGGAGTGCTGCCCTTATGCCTTGCAGGGAACACCTCGATTCGTATGATCTCTTCACCAGCTGGATATTTTATTTTTATTCAGAAACAGCCTGATTTTAGCTCCCTAGTTTAGAGTTAGGAATGAAATTCATACAGACCTCATTTAGCCATCTAAAAGTTAGGTGTTGTGCTGGCTAAATCAGCCTGGAATATGCATACTCATACAAAGGCTTTGCTAAAGTGTGAATCAAACTAAGTCGCATGGAAGCTGTGACCAAAAACGGAACAGCTACAGAAGACTATGCATGGCTGTGCCAGGTACGCAGTCCTGAGTCATCCTCTCAAGTTGCAGTTCTGGCAACATTACACACTAATAATGCACAGCAACAACGATCAGCAGACGATATCATCCTATACCCAGGCTTTCTGTACAGTCTGTGGAGAAAGACGGTCTATCAAAAAGGCAATTCATCCTATGCTCAACTGCCATGCTTTCTTTTTCCACCGGTTATGCAGGAAGCTTAGAGCAAACAGCCAGGACAAGATGACAGAAGTCTGGCAAAACAGCATCATCCCTTTGATGTTCTCTTCCAAGGCTTGGTCCAGAGCCTGATAAAGGCAGCAGATGTTTTCTTGTTTAATTCCACGAACTTTGAATCAAATCCCCAAGCCTGTTCTGTCTCTCCTGGGACTGCTTTTGCTGCTATTATGAATGCTATGTCTGAGAGTAACTTCTACTGCAGACACAGATACACAGCCCTTTGGATTCCACTGCTCCATGTTCCTTATTTTAATTCTCCAAGCATACATGCACTCCTTTCTGGATTAGCATGAGCATGGGCAGCAGCTTTCCGATTTTTCACTCTGGAACTGGTGTCAGTCACTTTTCCTCCAATGTGGCTTCCTTTATTGTTATTCCTTTTGACACAACTGTAGGCGAGGCTGTGGGGAGGATACAAATGCAAGTTGTTCCGATTCGGAAGAAAAACAGGAAACAGCATCGACAATCTTCCATTGCATTCTGTGTATTTGGCAGGAACGTGCAAAGTCCTGCTTTCCTGAACATGGGAGGGTTAAGATAATCAGAAGAAAATTCTTTGTTTTCTCTACTATTTGACAGTAGGCTTTTGCATGCTGCTTCTGCAGATACTTTTCTCTGTTTCTAAGCTGTATCTGCTCCTCCTTACACATACACACATCCTAATTCAACCAGCACCCTGAGAAGTCATTGCTACCTTTGTTTTGAGTGGCAAATTATTGCTTGTCCTATGGTTTGAGGCTCTCTTACAGTGTTTATTTGAATGAAAGAATGGGTTTAATCTCAGGCAGTCTCAGGGAGTTGAGTTCAGCCCTGAGCACAGCAGCAATGGCAAGGTATGGGACACAGCATCATGTGAAATGAATGATCATTAAATATTTGCTGGTGATTTTCTATTTCACAACTTAGTCACATGAGTCCCTACAATTTCAATTTCCTGAAAAATCATCTGAGTTTCATAAAAGCTGAGTAAACCAGCCCAAGTTTCAAACACTGTGTTTGCTAGGAGGGTGTTAGTGGATAGTTCTGTCCTGAAATCCCGCACCTCATGGTATCAATTGGATTCAAGACAGCGCCAAAGGGGAAAAAAATGGTGCTTCTGCTAGGCTTTTGTTTGCAGTTCTTGATGTATATTTGCATTAGAGATTGGTAGCATGAACTAGATAAACAGAAATTATACAGGAAAGTTTCATCATTCCTCTGAAATAATATTGCCACATCTTGAACTGATTTCAGAAAAGATGAGTTTGGCACATGCACAGCGAATGGCACCATGCACAAAAGCCAGCCATAGCAAGTCAGGTTTTCCTTCACTCTACGAGATTCCACTGTTTCTCCATATTCCCAGCACATAAGTAAAGAAGTAAAGTTGATGGAAAAAAAAAAAACAACCACCCCAAAATGCAAAAAAAAACCCTGTGTGACCATCTTAAACGAGTTCTAATCTCTCTTCTGTCTTTCCTTGGTTAAGATGGGGAGTGGACGACTCTTGCTTCTGACGTTGCTGACTGCTGCTACTATGCCAAAAATCTCTCCAAGGGGTTTATCTACTGCTTCAGGATAGCCTGCACCAGTAAAGCAGGAATGGGCCCTTACAGTGACCCATCTGCCAAAGTGAAAATCACTGGGAAGGATCAAATGGGTAAGAGCAAATGCCAAGAAAGCATTGTATTTTTCCTGCATCGAAACAATTGCACCCTGTTGGATGCGGGTCCAGAAGTCAGGAGCGAGTGAATCAAGACCAATTCCACTTGGCTCAGGGTGGTTTAGGGATTCCTCCTCTTTGGCTTTCTCATTTAAAAGTAGATTATTTTCTAATTCTGGACACAGTTAGGGGAATATGTGTAAATAACAAACAAACAATAAAATAATAACAGTATGTAAATATAAATAATATGTAAACATATATTAAAATATAGTAATAAAATAAAAATCTGGAAACTGTAGACTACCCATCGAAAACACACTCAGTTTTTGATGTGAGATCATGAGGAAACAGGTCTGGGACAATGAATGTGTTACTGGAGGTATTGATCTGTTGGTATAGATTTGCCACAGGTGAAAGCCCTGGGCCTGCTCTTTGTCGTGGACTCAGTCCTAAGTTCAGTAGTTAATTTATGGGTTCTGGTGTTTGCTACTGGGAATTATCGCTCTCCCGTGGTGCATTTTTCAGGTGTATTTTGTCTCTGAAGTAAAGAAAGCTTGATTTGCTATTTTTTTCACCTGTTTGAATACTTTGTACTATTTACATGTTTTTAAAATTAAGGAAACCATAACCCCACAGCAAATATATCCTTGTAGCAAAGGAAGTATCCTTTCTGCCAAGAAGTGGAAGGATGGTCTAACTGGAATTTCCTCCCAGTGGAGATGATTATTCTCTAAAAATCAATTCACAGAGATATTTTTAACTCACCCTAAATCCTCAGCTTTCCCTTGGCCCAGGATTCATTAACATATCTCAATGTGCCCAGCATTTCCAAGCAGATGCTTTAATGTGCCAAGGGATGCTTTAATATTTCAGGGAGCACTCGGACACAACCAAGTGCCAGAACCAGAACAAGTTTCAGTTGCTGCCCTGAAATATCCAACGAAAAGAAGTTTCTAATTCTTTGTCAGTGTCTTACCATGCCCTGATGACTTGTTATGTGAGAAGATGAGCAGCAGTGGCTGAGACGTTTGATATCATAGCACACAACATACAACCCACCTCATAGGCTGGAGTGGTCACACCGGGGAATTACTGGGTGGACAGTCCAGAAACTGTTCCATTCAAATAGCGTTGGGTGCCACAGCTGGGAGACAACCTGCAGACTTGTCTGGAGAAAGGTCTGCTGTCACCTTCATCGTTGTTCATAGACAGCGGAGGGTGGCTCAGAGAGGCTCCAGTTTCCAGGCAGAGGTGTTTTCCCATGTAATCCCTGTCACTTTTTCTCTGCAGAGCTTCGTGCTGCAATGCAGAACTTCCCATCAGCTGCTACTGAAGAAGAGAGCGAAATAATCGCACCATCTGAGCCTTTCCCAACATACCAGACCTACGCCTTCCAAACAGAGATCAAAAGGTAATGAATCCACCTGAGCACTCAACCAGCCAGAGGGAAATGCCACACATGGCTGGAGTTTAGAAAAGTCACTTTTATAAATGCACTGCTCACCTACTGTCATGGTGTTTTGTTGAACACACCTCCACAGCAATACATATAAACCTGAGATTGTTGGCAGAGTGATCTTCATCTTGGTTTTCTAGGATTCGGGTGTGGATTTTCTGGGAGAGCGAAAGGGTCTGTGCTGGGCAGCAGGACAGCCCCTTAGTATATTGTGAAGGGAGCCGGGGGCTAACAAAGGCTCCTCTCCTTGCTTCATCAACTTTTGCACCTACCAGTTTCAGACATGAGGTCGGGATTCAACTTTCTCTGCCTAGAAGATAGGCACCAACTTCTGTTACCAACAGAATGAGGTGGCTGCCGGCAGGGGGTCGTTCTCTTGCTCGAGACATGATGAGCCACCTTCTCTCTTCCCAAAGGAGTTAAGCTCTCACTCCTGCAATTTGAAGTGACTGTACAATTTAGACAGACAGGAGGATGTGCAAACTGTGACAGTAGATGCAATAACTCAACACTGGGCATGGATGAAAAACACAGCATGGGATCCTGATGGTTTTAAAGAACAGAAGCTCCTGGCTCTTCCAGGAGTAGCAGAGAAGCTTAACTTGCCTTTGTGTTCCTTTGTACCAGGGGACGTTTCAGCATTGTCCGACAGTGCAGGGAAAAAGTAAGCGGCAAGACTTTAGCTGCTAAAATTATTCCTTACTGGCAAGAGGACAAGCAGACTGTGCTTCTCGAGTACCAAGTCCTGAGGAAGCTTCATCACACAAATATAGCTCAGCTGAAGGGAGCCTACGTCAGCCCACGGCACTTAGTGTTGATCCAGGAGATGTGCGTGGGACCAGAGCTGCTCCACTCTTTGGCATTACGGTAATAACAAGTGGAGGGAAGGGTTTTCCAGTTAGCGCTGGGGTAGGGAGCAAAACACCTATTGCTTTCCCCTGACAAACCGGATCATCTCTCTCCATCTGTTCCAGTGTGCTGTCATTGCACATGGGATTTGTGATGCATTTGTTTTGCAACTTCTTGTGATATAAAAAAATTACTTAAGTTCCTTACAAGGTTGGGGTAGGGACAATTCAGGGCCACCCAGCTGAGATGTTGAAAGCAGTTTGCAAGAAGTTGATATGAAACCCCCTCTCCCATGACAAGGAGATTATTGTGGCTCAGGGAGCTGCATTTCTCCTCCATGTTGTTTCTCACAGTGGCAGAAAATGGATCTGCTGAAATCTGCTGATTAAAGGAGAGGGAATGGTGGGCATCAAAACTGCATTTTGATTTCTGCACAACCACTGCTTTCTCTGACGTGCAGCTCTACAACCTTCTGAACCTCTTGCATCTGTAAACCTGACTCACAGTCTGGACCAACCTCTCCATACACAATAGATTTGCTAAATGAGTAGAGTTGTTTCTGCTTGACTTTCAAGGGCCTCATGGGATTAGACATCCAGGGGAGGATGATAGTAGGTGTAGAATGGTGTCCTTGGGCATGCAGATAGGACACCTCTGGTTTCTATCCCTTTTCTTCTACCAGGACATCGTACTCAGAAGTGGAGGTCCGAGATTACCTGTGGCAGATCCTCAGTGCCATTGAGTATCTCCACGCACACAGCATCCTGCACTTGGATCTCCGATCTGAAAACATGATCATCACTGAGCCCAACCTGCTGAAAGTCCTGGATTTTGGCAATGCCCAGTTCTACACACAGGACAAAGTTATTACCATGGACAAGTGCATGGACTATGTTGAAACCATGGGTGAGTCCAGAGTTCAGTCACAGCAACCTTGGCCTCGTACGCAATCTGTGGTAAACAGAAAGAGAGACAGAGGCATTGGTCAAGACAGCAGTTGGCCCAGCAAGCAAAGTCTCCCTGGTGCTGCCCTCAAGTAACAGTGTGAGTTTGTAGGAGCAGCTCGTGGTGGCAGCTGTCCCACTTGCAGACCACAGAGGACAAAGCCAGAGGTCACGGCCAACACTGCTCTGGCTGGCATCCACGTGTCCAGAGCTCAGGGGTATAGTATTACTGCCATTTGGCCTGATGTTCTCAAGGTTTCAGGGCAGTCATCACCCACGAGGGTGCCTTACCTCAATCAGCTCCCTCTACTAGAAGCTTTTTCTTCTTCACTCTTAGGAAGGTAGCAAAGCATAAAAGCACCCACTGTTTTTTGTGCTGTTCTCTGCATTGGAGGGGAGCTTGGCTCACACCGGTTTGCTTTTCTAGCTCCAGAACTGCTGACAGAGCAAGGAGCCCTCCCGCAGACTGATATCTGGTCCATCGGAATCACAGCCTTCATCATGTAAGTCAGTCTGTCTTTCCCTGCCCTATGAGCAGCTTTAAAAGTGGAATTTCATAGTCAGCAAGCAGGGGAGATGCATTGACTCAGACAGTTAACCTCAGTTGTGTCCCCTCTCCTTGGCAATGCCGTAGAAGTCTGTGTGATGGAGAGTACGGAGGTGGCTGCACCATGCAAGGATGCCCAGTCCCAGCGATGTCTCCAAGTAGAGTAAGGCTCTTTTACAACACAGCAGCTGCTGGTGTTTCTCACTCAGCCTCATCTGAAAAACCCCAACTTTAATAAGAAAATTCAAACTACCCCAGGTGGAAAAGCAGCCAAAGTCATGAAACCCATAGAAGAACAGTGGCCTTTGGGATTTTGCATTCCCATATGACGTTTCTGTGCACTGTCGTGACCCTCCTGTCACTGCTGGGTGGGAATTCTTGGGAGAAGGAGCATCTTGAGCTTCATGCTGATCAATTCTCTTCTTTTGGGGCAGGTTGAGTGCCAACTACCCTGTCAGCTCTGATGTAGCCTGTGAATTTCTGAGAACGACCAGGAAGGGTAAAGTGAAGCTCACGCGGTGCTACGCGGGTCTCTCCGGGGGAGCGGTGTCATTTCTCCAGAGCACGCTGTGTGCAAATCCCTGGTAAGATGGTGTCTGCTCTCCCAATGGGACAGTTGGTACTGATCCTGGCATCATCCCTTCTTTCTCTCCATTTGCAAGGAGCCCTCTCACCCAGCATGGATCCCCAACTGACCTTCTCACCTTTGTCTGTTCTAGGGGAAGGCCATCAGCCTTGGAGTGCCTTCAGAGCCCGTGGCTCCAGGAGACAGGCTTGGACAACAGGCAGCAAGCACTGGTTACCTTCCCCACCACCAAACTGAGGAATTTCCTCACCGAACGGGAAAAGAAAAGGGGCCTGCTGTGCTCCAAGTATGGCCTCATGATTGCACAGTGACGTGGATGCGGCCACGGACGTGAATTGTCTCCTTCTCCCCTTTTGCACTTAGTGTTTGGTACCAAAGAGTCTCGCCAAGTTGCTGTGCATCAGCTGAGCTGGGATAACTGCTCTCTGTGAATGCAATTTAGCATAACTGAGCAAATTAATCCATATTACATGCATTGCCACAAGGTAAGAACAGAAATATAGACCTAACATGGCTCAGCTGACTAACGGTAACTTGACAGTATGTGTGTCACTTGGCTGCACGCTTCCTGGAAAAATCAGGAGAGATTTGCGTAGCCATTTCTGAATGGGTCTAGCTACCAGCCCCAAGAAACTTTGCAAATCCTTCCCTGAGGTGAGAAAGACTCCATGAGTGCAAATGCTGGGCACTGACTTCTGCCCCTGGCCCCAGGATGTGCTTTCAGATGTTACTGCACTGCTCATCCCACAGTGACCCCCGCAGCAAGGTCTGAGTGACTGGTGGGTTTCTCACCTGCCTCCAATCCAAAAGAATTCAATGACCAGTTATGATGAGAAAATAGGGAAGAGTGAAGCCCTTTTTGGGGGCTGATATTACACAACAATGTATCTTCAGGCTTGGGATGTAGAGATCCAACTGGATAAAGCACTGAGCAACCTGGCCTGAGTCAATAGCTGACCCTGCTTTGAGCAGAAGGTTGGTCTAGAGACCTCCTGAGCTCCTTCCCAACCTGACTTGTCCTGTGCTCCCATGTCTTTGCCAAGTGCCAGACACAAGGCTGGAGAGGCGGGACTCTGCTAGCATCCATCGGCAGCCAGGCGCAGCATGTCGCTTACCTGGCCAAGTTCTCCACCATCCCCATGGGGCCTGACCTGGGATTAAATACGGGACTAGAGCAGAGCTCTTCTAGCCGTGCAGCAACAAAAGCCTGCAAAGGGAGGAGGTATATGTGTTACATGTGTGACAGTGGTACCACCGAGGAGATTTTTAACTAGGGCTTTTCATACTCTGTGAGGAACCTCTTTCCTGCCCAAGTCACAAGAAACAAGAAGAGCCAGTGTCTGTGAAAGCAGCTTTGTAGCTCGACCCTGTAGCACAAGGCGTGTACAGGAAGGGCAACAGCAATGGGGCTTTCCAGTAACTGATAAACTGCACATCTTCCTCATCCTACTCCTGCAAGAGGCCATACCTTGCTTGGCTTTGAGAAGAGCTACTGTTCTCCCTGGGGTCCAAGTTGACCCTCCATATGCTGCTCCACTTGGGTGGCCCGCCTCCTGCTCTCTTAGAGCCCAGCCTGCTGCTCAATGAGCCGTGTGGCTCCATGGAAGGTCACCAGCTCTCCATGGGCACCCACACTGTTGTGTCTGCAGAGCTGACCGAGATCCTCAAAGGTTTCAAGGTTTGAAAACACCGCAAAACTTGTTTTTTGGGGCATGTATTTGAAGTCTCCCATTAGACCTAGATGACAGACTTACCCATCACATAGGGTCTTAGAGTAACCTCTCACCTGCCTGACTGCATCTGCATCAATTGTCTTAAAAACCTGTTAAAGAACAAACATAGAAACAACTCTTGAAGAAACCAAGCTGTGACTTGGTGCTTGGGCCTCTCTGGCAGAGATGTTCCCCATGGCCAGGATGCTGGCACATGGAGCATTTAGATGTATGGCTTTCCTCGCAAGCGAGGCTAAAATGGGCTTGTGTAGAAAGCCTTTTCTGAGCACATCCAAGGCTGTCAGGCAGTGGTGTGAGCGGTCTCCCTCATCTTGCCTGGCTTCATTGCGTTTGGATCAATGCATCTTGCCTGCCACAGGGTATTTGGGCATATTGCTGCGACTTGCTGGGAATAACTTGGCCACCGGACAGTAAAGGTAGCTAACGCAATAGTAGTGACCATGACCTCTTACATGCAGATGTTGTGCCACTGAGAGACTTTGCCACTTTGAAGCCTGGCTGTTCCCTGGGGAGTGCATCTACCAGAAGACACGGCCGCAGTGTCACCGGCCAATGCTGCGTGTTTTAATTCTTAAAAAAAATCCTGAACTTTCATGTTCCAGTTCCTCCTTCAAAATTTGCTTTCCTTTGCAATGGATGGTGTTAGCAGTGTCATTGCTTTGTACTTATAACCTCAGCGTTCCTTTGAGTTTCTCTGACGTGAATGATGTATCTGTTGGTACTGTTGAGTTTCTTCAATTTTCCTTACAAGCAGCAGTAAGTGGAGGCTTTCTCAGATCCGTATCTGGCTGTGTTTAGAGGAACGAAGATGGGAAAACAGTCCCTAACGCATTGCAGTTTAATAGTAGAAGTGATGCTGTTTAACCAGGGGTGGTCTTTTCCAACACGTTTAACCCGTATTGTTCCAAATCTGAAGTGTGCACCATCACGACTCCATCCCTTGCACGGTGCGCAGAGTAGGAATTGTAACGTAGCGGAGAAGCTTTCACTGTGCTGTGGAGAGCGGGCGCTGACTCCATAGACTGTAAAGCTTTGAAAGTCAAAGTAATATTGTCTTCTCTATGCACTACAGAAGAGAAAACCAAGATTTTAGGGCCAGACTCAACGCTCAGTTCTCTTGGGGGATAGAGGAGTGTTACGAGACAGACGCTGCCATGAGGTCTGTCCCCCAATAAACTTTTCAAGACCCTGGATTCCTTCCAATTTAACTTCTTTTACAAATCTAATAAGGTTTCTGTTGGCACAGGCTAGTTCTTTACTCTTGCTGGTACACTTTGGGATGGAAAGCTCAGTGCCGGGCGACAACCCATCTAAGCATAAAACTAAAGTGCAGATTAACTCATTTGGAGCTTTCACACTCTTCCGTATATGACTCAAATTAAGTGATTTTTTTTTTTTTTTTTGCTTCTCACAGCTGCATGCATTTGAGCATGTCTGAAGTCTTTTATAGACTCAATATTGTTTGGTTAAATAAACCATTCTGACAAGGAAGTAAAGCCAGATTTTTCTGCTGAAACATTTTCATTGTCCTTATTTTTATACCCCTTTCCCAAGCCCAGTCCATGTTGGTGCAGCACCCATCCCTCAACCCTGACCTGGGGTCCCTACAAGTCATAACAACAAATATACACTGTGCATTAGCAGTGAGGAGCCTTCGTGCAAACCATCCACCCAAAAACTCCTCTTGCTAGAGCCTTGGAGCAAGGACATCACTTGGCCAAGATATGTCACTATGGCTCTGACCTGCCCAGCTATCCCAAG